CTTGCTTATAATAGCAGGAAGAAGTCAGATCTTTCCAAGCACTGAGGCTCAGCCAAATGCATCCCAGAGTCCTGTGTTGCCACGAACCAGCCAAACACCATTTGAACTAAGGCTGGAGCTGGTTTCCACATTGCTTTGTTTATATTGACTGCATTTATGATGCCTCAGAAGTTGCCAGTAAAATATTTATTTAGCAGTTAAAACGTTCTGCAAATGATTTTGCTGTCCCAAAAGATAAATATTTCTCAGCATGCTGAAATGATACATTGATGTTTTCGTTAAGGAAATTGCATGTTGATAAAATTTTCTCAGATTACACTTTGTCGTTCCTTTGTATTTGAAGTGGCCACATTAATTTTTCGTGATATTTATTGTAATTGTAAATTGCACCAAGATTAGAAACATTAAACTTACCATAAAATGAAACACATTTCAAGTATTTCCGAGTCATCTATTTAAGGGCTTGAGGACACTTTTGATCCTTCAGGTGGACCAGAGTGCTCTAAGCTTACAGGACAGGAATCCAACACAAACCAGAATCCAATTTTTTAAACTCTTGGGGAGCCTTTTCCTTCTTCTTTTTTTTTTTTTTCCTCCTCTTTTTTCCTCTCTCTTACCTTCTTTTCTAGCACGCTAGTATCCAGCACCACTTTGGGGTGTCCCCATATTGCAAAAATTTCCATCTGAATGTGAGGTTTGCAGCAGATTTGAAATTTATGCAGGCCATTAAATAAAAATAAGTGCAGCTCTGCCATCTTTACTCGTTCCTTCTGCTTTCTTTGACCTCCAAACAACACTCACACCCATGATTTGAGCTGAGCTTACCACCTTAGACACTTCATGGTTGTTTCTCTAGACGAGGCCAGACACCTCCTCTGGTGTCCTCCCTTGGCCCTGTCATACATTTCAGCCTCCAGGTTGCTTTGTCCCATCCAAATTCCTCCCTGCAATCATGGCATGTGTGGTGTCCACTCTACCCCACCCCACAAACCACAGTTTGGCAGTTCTATGGCACGGGATTAAAAGCACTTCCACCCCGAGGTGACCCCAGATCGAAACCTCGGGGTGCAGCACTGGGATCGTTCCGGGTTTAGCGGCCGAGTTAATCAAGCTAACTTTGATTTTTGGCCACTCCTGTATCAGGCATTAACAAAACACAATGTGGAGAGTAATTTAAAAAAAAAAAACAAAACAAACAAACAGATGTCTTTTCTCTTTCTGGTACAAAGGGAGCTGGCTCTGGTTCTTCGAAGGACCTGCACTTTATCGGTGTGTGCATGAGTGTCCTAGGAGGGTGGGGGGAAACCTGTAGGAAAATCTTGCACAATATACAAAGAAGGGAATGCAAAACTGTCCTTTTTATTATTTCTTCACTTCTTTTTCCAAAGAATTTTGTTTGTCTTCCTACTTTGAGAAGTGTTTTCTTTTCGACAAGCGTTAAGATGTTTGTGTTCAGATCTGGGAGGTAAAAACATCATTAACTCCCAGGACAAACCTGAAATTCACTTCAGGGACGCAACTGCATTGCCTGACCAACAAAAAAATTCTGGAAAAAATCAATGGTATATGTCTTCAAGGGTTGTTTTTATTAAGGAATTTGGGTTTCATAAACAGGTATGACACCATCTTCACTTTGCAAGCTCAAAAATTTGGGTAAAGCTACTATTATTCAGGGATTTTCTCTTTTCTTTTACGTGGATGGATTTTGGGGGGGAGGGTTTAGCTGTTTTGAAACATTCAGCTGTATCACCTGCAGTTTACTATATACATATATATATTTATTTGTGGAGAGCACAGGATAGTGCCAGACCCTTTCCACTCAAAACTGTGCTGGACTTAACAGTCAACATGAAAAAAATCTACTTTGCTAAAATTTCCCATCTTCCTTTACCAGTCATATCACCTAGGTTTAAAATAAAATAAAATAAACCCCACAATAAACACCCAAGATTTTTCAAACATTTGGAGGGAAAGATTTTCACATTTACCTGTGCAAGAAACTTTTTTCCAGATTTTTCTCCATTTTGGTTGGCTTTCATAAGGTTTTTTTTGTGCCATTTGACTTTAGAGAACATCTCTGAATCCATTGGGAATCTTCAGGGACAGGATGAAACATTAGACAGTAAGAGCTCCCATTTTTGCTGTTTTCAGTCCATTTTTTTCAAACAGTCGACAAACACTGTTCAATAAGGAAATGTGACATCAATTAATGCCAACTCCTAAAACATACAGTTAATTAAAAGAGATCAAAACCAGGTTTATGAACGAACTGCCTTGCAACCACAACCTCAGAAGAGGCTTCCACCTTTCCCTCTGCACATCACAGCTCCCCTGCCCAGTCAGCACATGAACCATAACCCTGGTGGAATAAAACATTCAGGGGATCCACAGGAATCAAAGGAAAAATCCCTCCGATGATCAGAAAGCCTGAGAGGGCTCTGAATCCACACCAGCCATTAGAGGGCAATCTCATTGCAGGAGCTGGGTTATTTTAGCACGAGGACTGGGCTTCACTGATGCTCTTCAGCTGGAAATTAAACCCACCACAGTTCAGACCAGAGCGTGGTGAACCTCAGCACTGCCCAAGGAGATGTAGGGAAGGCAGGGAAACGTCGAGGGAAATGATGACAGAGCTCCATGAACCAAAGATTTGCACGGGGAAGGAGGAAGAGAAGCCGTTATCTTTGTGACAACACCCTCCTAAGGGCATCGAGGGAAGTTATCAGGTGGCCAATTAGCAAAGCAATCAAGGGGAAGTAGCATTGCACAGACAACAACACTTGTTCCCAGACAATCTGGCACATACCAAGGACAACTCAGCTGCAAATTACAAATGAAGGTAAGAAATGCCTGCTGGAGGTCAATGTACATCTCCGCTTGTGCTTTGGGAAATCCAAGTGATGACTCTTTGCTTACCTCTCCTCATCCCTGTCTCTAGGCTGAGCTCTATCATATCTTACAGAGTGGTTAAAGCTGAACCAGTCCTTGTAGTCTTAAGAAATTGAGCTTTCTGAGCATCACCCTCCTCTGTGGGTGAATATTGGTCTCCACAGAGAAGTGCTGAGGGTGGAGGCATCAAGACTTGGTTGTTTCAGAACAGGCTGACGTCATGAGGGACTGAAGTGCAGCAAGGAGTGTGTAACCCAGAATGTAAAATCTTTGTTCTTATCTTGTTATTCATCTCCTAATTGATGAAGTGGTTCTTCATCACAGGTCAATTCTTGAGGGTTGTAGTGAAGCAGAAACTAGAGAGATCTGAAAATACTGAGTAAGACTGTGCCAGACCCAGCCCAAGAATTGGGCAGTGCAAGGAAACATCCTTCTGATTAGAAATGAACAGGATGAAACATGCATTGATGTCATTTTAGACCAATTGTTACCTCCAACCCTCTTGTCTCTTTATAAAATCAGTTCACAGAAGGATTCAGGATTAAACCTCCAGTTCACTCCTGGGAGGAGAACTTGCATCTCCCAGGTACAGCAGCTCCATTTATAAAATCTTCAACCCCTGGAAGTTATGCTTTGCCTTGAAGCTTTTCATCTGCACTGAAGGCACGAACAGAATGTATATTGGGCAGAATTTGTGGACACTCTTAAGACACACTGACCATGAATACTACTAATAAAAACATCATCAGGAAAAACGCATCTGGAAAATGTGAGGTGTGCAGGTGTGTAAAGTCAAAGAAGAGAATTCTTGTAGAGTGCACATATCCAAGCCTAAGAAAACACGGTGGGGTTTTTTATGTTAATAGGGCAGAAAACTCAAATCTGTGCCACAGTCACTGACCCAGCTTTGGGTGTTGCCAGTTCTGGGCTCTCTGGTTATAAAGGTAGTATTTCCTTACCCAACCCAAACGTAACTCTTCCAAATTCATGCAGGGACAATATCACCCTTTTGGGAAGAGGAGCTGAGGAGCCTGTAGAGCAGACAACAGGTATAAGCTTCTGATCACACAAATGCTACAGACATGCTCACCAACACTGTAACTTTTGGTGTTGGACGTCGCTCTGACACTTCAGCTACAGCTCCTTTGGCCACCCAGCACCTCTGGGCACTCCAAAGCTGGGTGGAAGGACTCAAAACTACTCTACAATACACATTGCTGGGTTTGTTACCTCCTGGATCCCTCGGGCTCTGTTTGACTGTGGACGTGGTGGGAGCACAAAGCAATCCTGAAAATGCAGAGCACAAGTTACAACAGCAAGTCCTTTATTGAATTTTAAGCATTAGGAAGCCAAGCAAGAGATCCTCCTAGAAATCTATGAGTGCTTTGCCATCCAGATATTTCCTGGTGCAATAAGGGCAGCAAAACTAACTGGAAGTGATGTGTATCCAGGCAGGTGACAGATGAGCACATTGCCCAAACAGTGCCTGCCTTACTAAGCTTTCCAAACCTCAGCAAACTGCATCCCCTTGAACCCAAATATCCTGAGTCCTGATCACACTGAGCCCATTTTCACGCTGAAAACACAAAATTTGGCTAAAAGGAGGTTTCCTGAAAACCACTACAATCTCCCTGTCTTCCACCCAGAGAATGAGCTCTTTGGAACTGCAGGGAGAGATCTTGGCCTGCAGGACTCATCCCTGAGCGGTGAATCCTGAGCAGCACACTCCTCCTTCAACCTCTGTGCACTGCTGGTGCCACCTGCAAATGCAAGAGTTAAACTACACCCTACTTACTTTCCCCCCAGAGCACTAATGTGTGTGTTTATCTAAAACTCCTGATGTTCTCTGTGGGTTTTTTTTAAGGGGTTTGTTATAGGATTTTTTTTCTAACTAGGCTGTACTTTTCCTTTTAAATTAATAAAAGCTAAATCCAGTGGGCTTAGCTGCAAGTGTACACTGGCAAGAGTAAAGCACTGGCACCTACAAACCTTCTGCACTACAGCTTAGCCAAAAATTTGCAAATATTCGTTTAAATTCAGCAGCAGATTCAGCCATATTTACAGCTGCTTCACGGGTGCCTTCTGCAAATATTTGAACCCTTGTACTTTGCTAGGACAAATACTAGTGAATAAGGAATTTCAGTTTCAAATAATCACGGAGCTTAACGTGTTGTGCTCAGTTTTACACACGTGGTCTGTACACGAGCACTCGCCCGGTGAGACGCACACCAGGAAACAAGCAGCACTCTGTGGCTTCTAAAATTAACAGCACAAAATCCGAATATGAAACATTTACACGCTCATTAATGTGGAGATTTCACAGCCCACCACCACAGAATTCAAAGAGCGAAGTCCTACAGGGCCCTTTAAACCTCACCTGTGGCAGCAGTAAGCCTCCACGAGGCAAGGAGAGGAGGCTCTGAGCATCTGCAAGGACTGGCACAAACATCCAGCTTTTTGCACAGACTGAACAGGCCCCACGAGAATTTCTGTTTAATAAATGGGAATATTCAGCAACCCAGCTATCACTTATACAAAAAGGAGAAGAGGAAAATACACACCAGTTATCCTTTTCTTTAAACACCTATTGAAAGCTATTTTGATTGAGACAAGATGTTATTGACTTCCATATTTCAGAAAATTATACAATTAAGAGAGCACATAACTTAAAAATATTTGGGATTTACGTTATATTCTTAAATACTAGTGTTTAATCTTTAGGAAATACCTTAGGAAATGTTCCTAGCAACATTAACAGTGTGGGATCTCTAAGACCTTGTCAAGCAGCAGAGAAGGGAAAAGGCTGTTAGCTCAAAGTGAACAGCCAACTTCTCTCTTGGAGACCTCACTGGGGTGAGAAAAAATTGCATTTTGGGAACACCTTCCTTGCCAGACCAAGTCAGATCTGGGATCTCCTGCCACATGTAGATTTTTGCTCCGAATGCTTCCCTGGCACGACATTCGTACTGTGCAAATTAAAAGCTTGGGGTTTGCAGAAGATAATTCCGAATAAATCCAGTCTAATTCGTCTGAAACGGCTGTCATTTCTGTGCAATGGCCCAGTGTGGCGTTGGAGGCTCTCCCTGCCTCGTTAGTGTAACCCTGTGTCTGCAGACAGACGTCAGAATTCCCGGGACAGGCAGTTTTCTGTGTGTGTGTGTGAACAGCTCCTGCACATCTGCCTGTTCTCCTCTGGCCTCTGTTTACCCTTTGTTTGCTTTATCCCGGTGGAACATCGCAAGCAAGTTTTCAGCCTGGTTAGGAAACACCAGGCTGGAAACAATTGCCGTAAATTAATGGGGGTTTGCATAATTTTTCAGTGCAAGTCATGCCTGAGTAACTCCCGAGTATGAATGAGCAAGGACATCCCACTTTAAGCAGATCTGTGCTTGAACTCAGCAGGAGAGCTTTTCAACACTGACTCCAGGGTCTCCTGCTCGATTTTAAATATAATTTACCAACTTCGGTGTCTTGTCAGAGAGGGAGTGTGCGCTGCCTAACGCTCTTTGAATTAAATTCCCCTCTCTGAGGGAAAAATCATTTTGAAAAGTTGGATCTCCTCATTCCAGAAGACACAAACCACTCTTTTATTCATTTGCCTTGTGTACTGTTTCAATTTCAGAAAGTTTCCACATCCCCATCCTAAAAAAAAATAAAAAAATAAAAAAAAAAAATTACGTTTTAAAGACGCTTCCAGCTTATTTTGTGGTTTGTTAATATAGGTGCAATGTAAACAATGGATTTGAGGATCTTGCAGAGGAAGAGCCCATGTTATACATAATCATGTTCTAATGGACTCTGTTTGTAAACAGATGAGCCCATGCACGACTGTGACTTTTTTCCATCAACACTGAGCTGCCTGGACAAGAGGATGTATTTTTAATGTCTGCTGTGAAAACTGATGCAACAGTTTTTCACGGCAGTTTTCATCTCCAGGCTCGTTAGAGGTAACCATCCCTGTCCCCACGCCTGGCTTCTGGCACATTTCCCACAGATTTCATGGCAAAGCTGAGCCAAGCTGAGACAGCAGCCTGGAGAGCCGTGCTGGTGTGGTGATGCAAACTTGCCCTGAACTCAATTTACACATTGCTGGGCCAAATTTGAGGGAATAAGGCATTCAGCGTTCAGATTTTATCTGCCATACGAGTCAGCTGAAACAACCAAATGTAATGTCTGTGTAATGACCTCAATCCAACGTTTTGGGTTAAGGCAAATGTCTAGTTACAGGACTTTCACATGCTAGTCAATGAATTTTAGAGAATCTGACTGAACTCAGTAGGTCATACAGATCCCTTCGTTACATTTTGGAGCAAAATGGTGAGGGAAAAGTCCCAGGTAGAGGTTAATGTTTTTTTCCCAAGGCCAAGGAGATGTGACCCACCCCAGCTTCAGCTCAGCACACACACATGATGCAGGGTGGGGTGTTATCAGTACTGAGGGGTGCAGGCTGCAGCTGCTGCAGCGTCTCCCTCCCTCCTTTCCATGCCCCATCAAAACTCCTGCACCCCCTCCCTCACAACCACACATCCCTCGATATTCCTGCCCCATTCACCCCCCAGCCTCTCACACAGCCTTTTTTCATCCT